CATTTTTCTACCCTATTCAGTCTACTATTTTTTTTTATGCAAACACAGACATTTTCCATATATCTTTGTTTGCAGGGGGGAGCTATTATAGCGACTCACGTGCAAATGGGTTTATTTTCATTTAACCCAGTTAAGCCCTTTTTGTTAACTTATTTAGCGGACAAAGCCATCCGCACCACAACAATTTATTGTATCCTTATTATTATTTTGAGCTTGTATGAAATACGTATGCTTGAATATTGATTACTGCCTACGCATTTATTCACTCTGCTAGTCTTACTATTAACCGCTTATTCGATTCGATTACTCATTCAAATTCACATGGTATATATATGTCCATGTTATTCATATTGTACACTCAATCGCTAACTCGCTCGCACGGTCTTGTCACGCTCTTGCTCTGGCTCTCGCTCGCTTGCTTGCCTTTCGGCACAACTCTTCTATGCTTGTTTAACACATCTGTACATTGGGATATATGTGTGTGGTTTCGCAATAAACGTAATCGACACTTCGTATTTGCCTTCTGATTAATATATCGTTGGTACGTTATATAGAACGGTTATCACGACGAACTGTATACGAAGTTTGAGGATTATATCGAATACCGACCACCACATTACACTCTCGTAAAATATCAATGTATTCTTGTCTGTTTGGCGAATAACATTTACCAAATAATCATAAAATGATAAGAGACTGTGACCTGCATTATCTGTCCGAATATAAAATGAAAAAGATCGGAATTGTAAGAATTGAAATAAAGTTTGAGAATGAATATAAGTGAAAGTTGACAAAAATAAACATATCTGTTGCGGACAGAATGTTTTCGGGAAGATAGATTGTGGTAGGTAATGAAATTCACGACGCTCGTTCAATTTTATTGGGGACTTATTAAATGGGTCATCTTACATCTAAGCCTTCGTGTTTGTATTCAAGTTAAGAATATCAATATCAGGGAAATCTATTCTCTTCTAATAATCACCAAATGTTCTTCATTTGTAAGTCTTCTTTTGAGATTAAACGATGTGAACAAATCAATCACCCAACATGCCATCATGCATAGTATAGGTTAATGAGTAAGTCAATTAATTTTGGCGGATCTTATCTCGATGTCTGTTTTGTTGACTACATTCACGGTGGAAAAACAGACAGAATGAGTGATAATCGTAATAATGAAGATGGCGAATTCCGAAATCACACTGACTGAAATTATAAACACGTAACATAGTTCTACATAACATCTTTTTATTCTTAATACGATTGTCATTATGATCAATATTACTATCATTTTTTGCCCATTTATTTATGTGTTCTAAATTATCACCAACAAAACATTGAATAGCTAAAGACAATAGACAAATCGTTTTGTTCGTTGTTAGTTCACCTGTTGGTATTAATTGTCATTATGATAAAATATATTTTATACTTGTCATCTACTTTCTAATATTCAATACTGCAGTCGCCATATATTATTTCTGGATGAATCAGGTTAAAAATGATAAGATGTTCGTTTAATTGCTTTAGTAAATATTTTATTGATAACCATGGCTACGATTGATCACTTGCTTCTAGAATCTGATTGCCATTAGAACTACTCAAATACTGTCAATTCGTATGAAACGTATGAGTTATGTGATTGTTATGACCTTGAATGTCTGACTTTTCGATCACACGACTTAACTACCAATCCGAATACGACTTATACGAATCTTCACACTAGGCCAACCAATGACGTTCAACCGGTGTGGGCAGTTTAGCGTCCTTATTGGTCCTATGTCCTACGAGCCCTTCCACTTGAGTTCAGAACACAATACCAGCTTCGAATCAGAGCAGATCGTTTATTTCAGGCATACTTGGTTTATATATCAATCACACAGACCGCAACGTACCATAAAATAGGAAATAATATTTGTACACAAATAAGCCCAAAAAGTGGCTGTGAATGTGGAAGGCAGTAGTTAATAAACTGAACATAACTTAAGAACCGTAAATCGTACAATAATAAATTATAGGTCAAAATAAAGCTTATAATAAGAGGGATATAAATATACATAATGTAATTGTTGAATAGTTATACAATAAGAATATTTATAGAGTATTAGTCCATGAATAGTCCTTGGAATTTACCTGTAGTTTAATCTTCACCGGATATAACAGTGATAGCTGCTTATTATCAATCACAGGTTTAGATTGCATAATTATGTTTTGCGATTTCATTTTTATTGAGGTAATGAACCAACCAATGTCAGATCACCATTGGTTACCTGGAAGCACTGGAAGGCTGTTCAGTCTTGAAATTTGACTTTTCAGCAGTGAGCATCCATGGTCCTGCAAGCGGGACGCGCACTGTTGAAAAATCACGTTTTAAGACGAGATGGCCATCCAGTGTTTCAAGGTTTACAATAGGAAATCGACAGTTTCCACAACTCTAAACTGATAATTTTGTTTGTTAGTGAAATACTGTCACAATGGCATGTTGCAAAATATGAGAGATATTTTCACATCCGAACAATGTCAAGAACAAAGCGACGTGAAACTCCAGACAAGTTGAAGCGAAAGTGGTCGTTTCATATATTTGTATCAATCAGCAAATTTCTTTTGAAACCAACGTAATCTCTGTTGCAGTCGAAACCGTCATTGAAGTAACCTGATGGCAATGAATTTCTCGATTTTAGTCTTTTAGGTATAGTATTGAGATTCTGTGCCGATGTACCTTTTCACTGATTTGATCAATACAATGGAAACAGTATTGCCTGTATTTTTTATATAAGCGACAATAATTCTTTAGCCGAACCAACAGAAGTGAAACTGGGATTTATGAATTAATTGGACTTTCCATTTTAATTGGAACTTAGAACATTCGATTCGTAGGAGGTTACACCGAAAAATAATAAAGAAAAACGAACCTAGTCCGTTTCTATGTTAACTGTTTCAGCAAAATATCAACAGGCAAAATGTGAGATGAAAATAACGTATTTGATGGAATGTAGTCTACAATCAATTAACAGTACTAATGAGCCACAATGACTAAAAGCAATCACGAAACATTATTCAGAATTTTATTAATATTCAACAAAATAGCGAAATGTTAACTTCATGCAACTTACTAGGCAAAAGAAGGGATGGATTTAAATAAAAATTTCCAGGTGGTGGTTCATTTATCAAATTATAACCTAAAACATTATCTTTCTTCCCGAAACGACTAGTTGTTATCATCCAATATTCTGCAAAATAATTCCATATTCCTGAAACATTTTTATATATACTTTCAAATACATGTGCACTCTCATATGCGGCGTGCGTTAGAAACCATTGGCTTTTACTCGGATCTTTCGTTAGTGGCCAAGGGTATTGAAATAAATATGGTGGTCGCTTTATTTTATCCATAAACCAATTAGGCACAGCATCAATTGCACCTAGACGTTTCTATAATCCATCTTGATGCAAATCAATGATGATATAAACTCCATATAATCCAGCATTGTCGATAATCGTTTCAATGATATCTACGTACTCTCGATGGATTTCGTTTTCCCGTGGTTTTAATGCTATCCAGTTGAATTCTAAGCGTATAACATTAATTCCCCAATCTCTAAGTACTCTGAATGAATGAGGGTCAAGTAGTTTTGGAAAGTAAAATGGTGCGACTTTATGCACACAGTTGATTCCATGAAATAATTTAATAAATCCTTGTGGATCAACAAAGTAACCAGTATCATCGTCAATGGTGACTTTTGCATGAGCTTGTGAATGGAAGAATTTTGGTAGTAATATCATTATCCATGACAAACGTAAGAGTGCATCAATTAGAACGTTCATAATGTCTCCAAGAAGTTTATGTTGCTTTGAAGATCTTGTCGATCTCACCAAAGTGAATAAAAATTCCGTTTAAAACCACAAGGACAATGTAATAGGTTAGTGATTGATAGTAAATAGTAAATTAAATGAGGAACATGTACTCAGTAATTTTATGTTAAGTTTGTTCATCAGACATCTAGTCGTTGATTGCTACTTATTAAAATGCAGTTTTTGAATAACAATAAATGTAGATTTTATGTTTTATAGAAAATACATGACCATTTTGTGATTACATCTACTGAAGACCATATTACTTATTGAGAATTTAATGAATTGGAAAATTTGAAGGATGTTGAATGTATGAAATAATAGGGCATTGGAAAAGAAAACGAGCGTTGATGAGAAACATCTTATTTTGGTGGTATTTGAAATCTTTTCAATATGTTCAAATGCACTACGTTTTTCATTTGAAATGTAAATTCAGTGTTTGTGTTACGAAATCCATCATAATAGGCATCTAACAGTCTTTTCAATTCATTTCGTTTCTTTGTTTCTACTAGAATTATCACTGAGATCATTTGATGACAAATATTAGAAAACGTGACATTCTTATTTCTATCTAATTCTAATGAAATCTACTTCAATATAAAAGTATAGTCAACGCTTGTATTTTGACTAAAAATAATATGAAAATCGTTCAAAGTAACTATAACTTAGATCTGCATGTGAGGTATTTCAAAAATGAACACAACGCAAAAACTCTCTTGACCTTATTAATGTGAAAATGTAAACAAATGATGTAAGCGTGATGTTTATGAGATCTGTGTGGCATTCATTATCACTTAAACAATAAACACATGATTATGTATAAACCTTTTTGATTAAAATCACAAACATGTTTGATGTTTATATTCTGAAAAATGAACACTTACATTTAAGTATCGTAACACATTAGTAATGAATTCAGTCTAAATGTGATCAATCTAAAGGAATGTTTTGTTTGCATTTTAACAAAACTTTTAAATAAATGTATTTTATTGTTGACACGGAAAAAAGATTATTTGTATAGGTTTTCTTCTGCATAAAACATGGATTTGTATTTTATTTCTCAACAAAAATGTTCTGAATAGTGAGTTTTATTTTAAATGTTTTAAAATCAAATAATATTTCTGAGACATTTTCTATGCTTAAAAGGTGTATCATATCCAGTAATTAAGTTCATTTGGAGATCATTAAATCAGTAAATACTTCATATTAAAAAGTAATTGCCATCATTGATTTCCTCTGACATATATTTGTATTTCTCGTTTGTTATTTTTTGACTGTGAGGTACCGAACATGTTTGTAACAGATAGTTGCGCATAGCTCTACCTAAATGATGTAAAATCCTTAATGACTATAAAACTCCAATATTTGGCACTCAATTACGAAGTAAACGGAAAAATAACAAAATGGGAGGTAGGACCTAGTGAATGATAAAAACATTACTGATAGATTCAGCCTTCGTGGACTAATTGAAGAACAAAATACATATAATCAAGTGATATGATGAGAGACAATTATTTAAGTCTTCTGTTTGTGTTCATTTGTTTACCCAAATCCGATTTAAACTACATAATCTAGGTATATTGATAGTATCGATCCCTGGATATACCGCTGCTTTATGAGCAAGTTTCTGATCGTAAGAGTAGGGTTCCTTAGACCAAATATACAGGTTTTAAGTTTGACTTTGAGAAAGTTACATATACTAAAAAGCCTAACCCATGAGTTATGTCCTAAGCCCTATTTTTCTTGAGAGTTTGAGTCCTAGAATGTAGCGTCTAAATATATTGTATTTTACCGTGAAATATCGTTGAACTCCTTCCAAGTTCAGCGTATCAGATAGACGCAAATTGCTAAATATAAAGTAGCATTATTCATGGACAGGTTTTCCGGTTGTCGTTTTTTTAGCGAGTTACTTTTCTGCGGGATGGGGTTGCTAACCCCATGTCCCACCATTCTCCTTTATCCGTGATTGGGACCAGCAGTATCCCCCGGAGAGACTTCAGATGGAGTTCTCTTTCTCCTGGTAATCGACTGGATCATGAAGACATCACAATCTGAAGGGAAGCACGGAATACAGTGGACATCTAGGATGCATTCGGACGGTCTAAACTTCGCAGATGATCTGGCCCTTTTATCGCAAACGCAACAACAGATGCAAGAGATGATCGGTGTAACAGAAGCCTCAGCAGCAGTGGGTCTCATTATACACAAATGGAAAAGCAGGATTATCCGATACAACACAGCATGCACCAATCGTATCAAACTTGACGGAGTTTTGTAAAATGTAAAAACCTTTACATATTAGGGTTGAATCATTGATGAACACGGTGGATCTGATGCAGATGTGAAAGCGCAAGAGCAGCAGATCCACAATTGAAGAAAATTTTGAACTTGAAACACATGTCAACCAACACCAAGGTCAGTTCTACTGTATGAGGCGGAAACTTGGGGAACTACAAAAGCCATCATCCAGATGATACAGGTGTTTATTAACAAATATTTCGTACAGAAGGATTCTAGACTTATGTTGATAGAACTCTCTTAAAATAAAACCCAATAATCTTCGTAATTTTGATATTTTAGTGTTTGGGGCAGTTTTGGCTAAGGGACAATTTCGGTCTTTGGTTAATTAATGATTCAAGTAGACGTACAGACGTAACAAAGTTAACTTATTTGATATCAATTCGCAATAAACGACTTCAAGAACTTAGAAGGGGATAGGTTCTTCAGGTAAATTCAAGCCTGTTTATTAATAGTTCGTGAGGTAATTGGTTAGACCTTATTTATGTTTAGGTTTATTAAGACAAATAAGTTCTTTTGATCACTGTTTTAAGCAACCTCATCAAACAAGTCCCCCATACATGAAGTTCCTAACCTAGTTATAAAGAAGCCATGCTAAGAGACACTAGTTAGACCTTCAGATAGTAGGTGGTCGGATATTTGATCATTTACCATTGCTTTCATCATTCGTTCTTGTTTATATTTAGAGACTACGTAAGTTACTTTCATTTTTCTGGGTATGTTCTTGCTTCTAAGTACAGGTTAAATATTTTGAGTAGCTGTTTTAGAATTCACGGTTCTATCTTTCCATAGATAACTGACGAGAAGTCATGAACACCTGAGCTTGAGTTCAGCTTGATGGTTTATTGACAGTGATAATAATCCTGAATTAGTTATTATTACTACTGAGATTATTCACGCTAATCTATTTAAGACTGATACGTAGAACATGAAATATATCCTCATTGTTCAAGAGACTCACTCAGCAGTTTACAAACGATATTTTGATCATCACTGACCACTCCATTTTTCAGTACTGAATGACTGCTGTTGCACTCTTTTTCAGGAGATTTCCCTACAGGCAACAGAGGTTTTAGGATTTAAATACGTTTGGGAGCTACATATTCCTCGACTTATTGCTTTTCATTTTGACTTTTGCATGCTCAAGTGAAAAGTATATTTGAAGCGGGATACAGAAATCCTTTGATAAACAATAAACAAACTCTAGTTTCCAAAGCTCCTTCCTGGTATTTCGGTAATGCAAGAAGTTGTTATTATCATAACCTTTAAATGGGTTTAATAGAGTTTAGTGCTGATTTAATGGTAGTTTACTGGCCCGAGATATGACTCCAAGGAGACCGTAATGAATGATTGTTGTTGGAATTTATATGTCGCCTATCCTCGTATATAATCATCGAATTAAATCCCGTTAGTCAATAACAGAATTAAATAAGTCAAATAACGAGAATGGACTTATGAATACATATATTTTGTATATGAAGCGAATAGAACAGAGAGAAGCGAAACGACGCGCAGTGGAGATAACGTGTAAGCCAACTCCATTTAACCAAGCGGTAATCAACATTTATAGTCACACAAAAGTATGTCACAACCATGTGATGAATAAGACAAGAAGGGCACACACATATGCGCTCATATAAAAACAGTCAAGATTGATAAGCCAATAATTGGTTAACATTAACTGAATGGCCAGTTTTTATTTCTTTTTCGAGTGAAATTTTTTTCTTGAAGAAAAAATTTTTTTCTATCCCCTTTGAAAGTCTTTCATCCCCATCTTCCAGTAATTTTCGTTGTTTCGTCCAACCAAATACGTGAACGATAATCACATAATGATTATTAATCTAAAATGAATTTTGATAGCTTCATCATTTGACCTTTGCCATGGAAATAAGAAATTGAAACAAAAGAACTTAAATCAAATTTTGGGTGGCCCTGAATAGGGCCTTTATTCGTTCTCTTAACAGTTCTGAATTTCATGGACAAACGAGTTGCTATGATTCCGTTATTGCGCCGCACATGGGACAGTGGATTCCATGGACGTGTGGTGATGGGTCGTAAGCAAAAAATAAACGAAACATTGCTTCGCATGGACAAGAAATCCAGGCACTTCCATCAGCAGTTTCATGTGGCGGTTGCGCAAGGTTGCAAATATCACAAAGTCTGTTGTCATACGCGTTTTCGTCATTGTCGTCGTCTCGTTCAGTGAACTCCTCTGAGTTAATCAAAACAATTTCTTCCTTGTCATTGTTTAACGTTGCATCCATATCGACGTTATTTTGATAGTTGGTGATTACAAAAGATGAAGGAAGGACACTGAGTGTTCACGGAGGTCCTTTATGAAGAATTATAATAATACTAATCAAATTACCTCCTTCGTCTACTCGGCCGTGAGGAACCGCTTGGTGTTCTACGGCCATTTCTTCAACATACGAATTTAGTACACGGCTTCCGATCTCTATGAAAATGAGAATCTCTCACCGCATGATGGCAATACGTAGCTCTTTCATACGTTCTAATGGCGCTTTTCAACGCTTTAAGTGATTGGAACGCTACGAGGTACAATGGGCTCAAGAATAGATTATCGGTTTCTGTGACAACGTAAGAAACGACAGAGCATACACGTCGCACTTTACTACCGTCCATAATTGGAAAAAATGTGATTTGTCGTCAAGTCC